GTTGGAGGGAGGAGACGTTCCCCCCCCGCCGGACATCGGAGCTTCGTTCTGATGTCCGGCGGCATTACGTCAACAAAAGCCTAATTGGACTGGTTTCCTCTTACAGATGCTAGCCTCACATATCACAGGATCACAGCTCTGGAAACAACGCCATGGCCACCATCCAGAACTGACCTCCCCAAACCCACAACACTATTTTAAAAATTTTTACTGTAAGCCACCTTAGGAAGAACTCTGCCTTGGTAGCGATCAGGCCAAAGGTCCAGCTAAACGAGCATTGAAGCAGATGCCTTTGGGAAGTCCAAAAGCAAGGACCTTGGTGGGGTCGGCAACAGCACTTGGGGCACTCAGGGGCAGACTGCCTCTAACTGTGAAAATAGTACGTAGCTATCATGACTAGTAGCCAGTTGTGCTTTTATCTTGTATTTTTATCTTGTGAACAGTTCTGAGATCTTTGGATGAAGGGAGGTATATTAATTTAATTAATATTAATAATCATAATTATTTATAACCTTATCCTCCACAAATTTGTCTAAATCCCATATACGTAAAGCCAATCAAATTGGTGACCATAAACTACCTCTTGTGACAATGTACTCCATAGTTCAGCTAATAAACACCTTACAGCCTTATGGTGGCCAAACTGGATTGTGGGGGGCGGGAGAGAAAGAGAAGAGAAAAGAAACAAAGCTATTTTAATCTCAGAATGCATGGCTCCTCAACCTGTTTTGTAATTCTAATTAAGGAAACAAATGACTTGTCAACGTGCCAACAACCTCAACAGGTAGAGGGGCCTGGAGAATCTGCAGACTGCTCTCCCACCCTGCAATCCCCCAGCTGAGAAGCCTCTCCCATGCATTGATCTGTCTTTGGCCTGGTTTGCGCATCATAGGAAGCCCGAGTATCACCCACCATGACTCTGCAAAAATGCTGACTCATGGAAGGAAGATCGCAGCCACTTTGCTCCTCTCTTGGCTTTCTAAGGCAGCACGACACACCAACTAAGTCCAGTTTTTTTTACTTTGTGCATTATTCAAATCTAGGGCCAGGCTTACGTTTTCCACACTACTACAGGCAACAGGTGAACAACCACACTTTTCTCTCCTATGTGTATATAGAAGCATATAACTGGCTGGTCTACAACCTTTCTTCCTCACATGCTAATTTTGATGTGCAGGGTTTTTCTTTTTCTACAGTGCAAAATGTGCAATTGTGCTATGTCCTTCCTGCATCCTGAAGTGGTGCAGTCCACTCCTCCAGCTCCTCATTCTACTGCAAGTGTAGACCACATATTGGAGTTCTGCAACTGGCAGAGGCAAGGAGGCTCAGATTCTTTCATTAGGAGAGCAACAAAGCTGCTAAGTGGACCTCTTAGAACTTAGCATTGTGTCCTTGATCAGATGTACGTGAAAGAAGAGAGAGCTTCATAGCCCTAGTCTCCACTGACTTCTGGCCTTATTATCAATCAGCCCCACAGCACTTTTGTTGTGAAAAGCAGCACTTCATCATTCATATAGCATTAATTCTTGGGGGGGGGGCTCCTTCTATGATTATGGGTTGCTTTTGCAGATTTGGAGCAGTTACAGCCTCTTGTCTGGGCCATGATAGAACCAATTTCATTTCTAGTGTCCTTGCTAAGGCCTCTGTAATCTACAGAAGAATGACAAGAACGACTTGAGTGAAGCCTCTGAGACAGGAAAATATCTGTTAAGCGGAGAACGTTTATCTACTTTGCCTTTTCTTCCCTACTTGTAGAATTGTGGAAGATCTCACTGCATAGCAAAGCTGACTAGAAAAGACACAGGGGATAGGAAAGTTCATCTGAATTTATCAGTGACCGGGTTTCACACCTGCCTGATATAATCTTTCCTCAGGGATGCCTTGCCAAGGCTGATCTCACGCATTTCAGCTAGAGCTGCTCAGAATGGTGCGCTAACATTCGTTCTGTGTGTGCTACCAGTCCTCCTTCTCTGAAGCAAGTAAACGCCGATTATCCTTTTTGAGGTGGCGGTGGGGGGTATCTATTATATAAGTTTAATGCAGCATCTCTTTCCCAGAATACATCTTGGTATAGAAGAAAGCATTTTCCTTTAACATTTAGAACTGCGCTCTCTCTCTCTCTCTCTCTCTCTCTCTCTCTCTGTAAATCTGCTCAGTGGACTATATTGAAAATGTTATAGGCAGGAAAATAAACTAAAAGCTAGATGCAGCACTGAGTGGCCATTTAAGCAATATGAAAGATTAAAGGTACCTATGAGAAAAGAAAACTTCAGCATAACTAACGTAAATGGAGTCAGTGCCAGTTTGCTTCACTGCAGCCTGTCTCTTGAGCTTTGTCTACCACCAGAATTTCCTAGCTAAGGAAACTGACTATACAGTTCCACCCTACAAATAAAGAGGAGCTGGAGGGGGAAGGGGTGTTGAGAGCTGAGAAAGAAGCACGTCTGGAAGACCACAATTTGAGTAAAAGTAGAATGCATAAGTTAAAAGAGTCTCCCACACTTTCATCTGCCGCCCATGCATTCTCCACTTTTTCTCAAAATTGGCAGTCTCAAGCTGAATCAGGTTTGGGGGGAGCTTGCCCATCTCTATTTCAAATTGCTCCGGATAATTTATTAATGATTTCAGTAGCACAAGTCCCAAAGCAGATCCTTGCAGGGCACTGCTTCCTCCCTCCCTCCAATGTGAAAACTCTTCTTTTATTTCTACTTCAATTTCCTATTCTTTAACCAGCTACTGATCCATAAAAGGCCTGTCTTCTTCTACCATCATGACTCAGGACTCTTTAGTGAGGAAGTTGAAAGCTTTTTGGAAGCCGAAGCCCAACAAATCTACCAGATCAGCCCAGTCTTCTAAAAGCCAAGCTGCTTCTTAGCAAGGCTTGTTCTTCCACCCTTCAATTGTTGGCATCCATCTGCCTCGGGAAACAATGGAGGAATGGACCTTTGGGGGTGAAGTTAAACTGTTGGAAGGTTGCAGTGCCTGCTGTTGCTGCATCTGTAATAATTTCAGAGTTAATCGTGTTTCCACTAGTTTAATGGAACAGATGCTAGATAGTCTGTTATTTCCTTTATTCCTCCCTCATCTCTCTCTTAATTATCTTATACTGAGTACCTACCGGTTCTCCAGTAGAGAGTCTGATTTTAGTGACAAGCTCCATATTTTTGTTAGACGATCAACAATATCACACTTACGTTCTTTAGGCACTCTTAGACATCAAATATTGCAGTCCTTTTAAAACATGAAGCTGCTAAGTTCTTGTCACATTGCTCTGTGTCAGTTGTCTTTCTGATTAATTAGCTTAATTATCCACACTAAGTGGCTTTGCTTCCGCAGGATCAGATAGGAACAGTGTACATGATCAGTTACATATGGCCTCTGGAGTGGGATCAGCAACCTTAGCGGACACTGCTCTGAAATGTGTTGATATTTCAGAACTAATCTGTTAGGGTTTTAAAGATGATTAATTAAACCGTACATATAATGCTGTTATTTTGATAACTTCTGTCATTGTTTTAAATCCAATCACTTGAATTGCTGATCTCACAAACAGCTCTACAGGCATGAAATCGAAGAATTTCTTAAGGTCCAAAGCTTTTCTTTAGGTTTCCAAACTACTTAGGCTGTATCCCTAAACTCACCTGGAGAAAAGGACAACTGAATTTAAACAGGGCTTCTGAGTAGACATGGTTAGGATTGTGTTGTAATGCACTGCAACAGACACAGTGCCTATATGTGATGGAGCCTGCAATATTATGCTCATTTTGTTGTATGTAAGTTCATTGAACGCAGTGGGTAAGGCTGCAGCAATATCTATGAAGGAAGCTTCTTCCTGTGAATTCTTTCCTACAACAGATCAACTGTTCTTATATAGGCAGTATCACTCATATGTGAGAAGGACCCTGCACGTTGAAGTATGCAGATTCTTTCTGTCACAATTTTTCCATCTGTCTCATTTACCCCATGAACCTTTGGCTGAGGAATTCCAATAGATGATGTGATTCCTGAGATCTAGATGAATTTCACATTCCAGTCCTAACAAGACCTAAGCTCAGAAGCTGTCGCTTTGCCCAGTCCTTTAATCTTCCTTTCACATCCTAGAGCTGTCCCAGAACATTTCAGCACAAAGTAAGTTGATCCGAAACCCAGAACATTATGTCCCTCCCCCTCTAAACTCAAGCTAGGGGTGGGACTTGGCCCACCAGGGATTTTAATTTGGCCTATGAGGTTGTTTTCCTCAACCAGGCACACCTGCTCATATGTGATGTCAGGTGTGGGACAGGTAAACTGCTCACTGGCAAGGGAAAGCCTATTTTGGTTCTACCACCCTTCAGCTGCAGAAGCATCTAAATGTTGTGGATTCTTCCGGAAATCATTGTGAACAGAACCCATTTACCTGTCAGGAATTTGCCAGTCAGTTAGACTCATCACTAGTTTATACTAAATCTAAAGGTAAAGGTAAAGGTACCCCTGACCGTTAGGTCCAGTCGCAGATGACTCTGGGGTTGCACACTCATTTTGTTCTATAAGCCGAGGGAGCCAGCGTTTGTCCGCAGACAGCTTCCGGGTAATGAGGCCAGCATGATTAAGCTACTTCTGGCAAACCAGAGCAGGGCACGGAAACACCGTTTACCTTCCCACCGGAGCAGTACCTATTTAGCTATTTGCACTTTGACGTGCTTTCGAACTGCTACGTGGGCAGGAGCTGGGACTAAACAATGGGAGCTCACCCCGTCACAGGGATTTGAATCGCCAACCTTCTGATCAGCAAGCCCTAGGCTCTGGTTTAGACCACAGCGCCACCCACATCCCTATACTAAACCTAGAGCCAGGCAAATATGTCCTGCACTGGCTTTGCTTTTGGCTGCTTTGGAAGCTGTTATGAACACAGAGCATAGGATATTACTTCATACTCAAGTCAGATCACTGGTCCAACCAGCTCAGTATTGTCTACACTGACTAGTGACAGATTTTAACAGGGATCTATTCCCAGTCCTAGCTGAAGACACCAGGGATTGAACCTGGGACCTTCTGCTTGCAAGGCAGATGCTTTGCCACTGAGCTACAGCTCTTCTCCAGCTATGGCCCTTTCAAACATATTATGTCTACCCCACAAACTTCCAACAAGGAGTGGGGAGCACTTCCAGGCAGGTGACTTTAGGTTCCACTGGCCTCATCACAAGACAGTTTTAAAAAATGGATTTAACATACAAAAGCACAGTCTTAAGTGGCTGTGCTACATTCCCGATTCACTCTCCCAGTTAATTATTTACATCTTTTGAGGCTGCTCTGCTATTCCAGGGGCCAGAAGTTGTGGCACAGAGGAGGAGGTGGGAACCATTAGCTGCATGGCGTATGCAGCCTTGTGTGGCAAAGAGACTGGCCAGAGTGTTTAATTGATTTTCCCTCTGCATGCTTGGGTTCAGAAAACCTGATAAATGACAAATACAAATGTTTATCGCAATGTGCCGGGTATTCACAAAGTAAATTCAAACCCCCTAAAGAAGGAAAAAATATTTCTCACAGCCAAGTAGCCATTCATAAAATGTAACTTTGCTGAAACAAGGAAGACTCTTGTAGCACCTCAAAGCCTAACACAATTATTATAGGATCAGCTTTCATGTATCTGATGAAGTGGGTTCTAATCCACGCAAGTTTATGCCGTAATAAATGTGTCAGCCTTTAAGGTGCCACAAGACACATTTGTTTTTGTTGCAAGGGACCAACACAGCAGCTTCTCTCGAATTTTGTTTTGCTCATTTCCATGTGAATTTCCAGTCAAAGCCATTTATTAACCAGCTGGTGGCAGTGTTTTCTTTAGGAAAAGTTTTTTTATATATAGAGAGAGAATATTGCCTTCATTCCTCTCATAACAGCTTCTGAACATTTTAAAGTGAAAGGATCTTTCCGTTCTTTTATTCCTCCTCCCTGAAATTTCAGGCAAATTCTTACAAGGAGCAAAAGCTTCTCTCCCTCCCGCCCCCATTTGTAAGACTGCCACTGTTTTGAAGAGTTATATAATACCGGGAAAGAGAACGGAGAAAAGAGGCTATTTCTTCCAAGCTGGGGTGTCCTTGTTTTCCGTTGTTTGTTCTGACAGGATGCTGCCTGATTGGAAGGATTCTTAGTCTGCCTGTGTAAGCTAGTTTAGATTTGGAAGAGAGACGTTAAAAGCAATATAAAAGCATGACAGATTTAATACGGTTTTCCATCCACTACTGTGCACTGAGTTTTAGGGGGGGGGTTTGCTGTTTTGGGGCGTAGGAAGCACTGGAACACTTACTTCTCATTCCCACACATTCACAATGGTGTGTTTCCATTACCTACCTAACTCACATAATGAGAATAAAATGAAAGGCAATGGCAGAGATAGAGAGAAAGGGGGAGGGGAGGGGATGCTTTATTTATGGTATCGAATAAGGAAGAATGGCAGTTCTAGGCATTCATCACAAATTATTAAAAGAGCCAATCCAAAATACATTAATAAAACTGTCTCACAATGTAATCCTCACTCATCCCCCCCCTTGAACAACATCACATGAACCTCCTGCTAGGCTGCAGAAGAAAGAACCCTGAAAAACATTTTGATCTCTTTATTGGAGGCCATCCTACACTTGCTACGAAGCAACAAACGCATAGCCATACCATCTGCATCCTCTTCTTCTGGGAATCTTTTGCTTAGATGTAGGATTCTGCTTTGATGCCCATTATTGCTGACTATACCTGCCCTGGCTCATCATCACAGAAATGTCACCACAACTGAAGAGGACAATGAAGTGCTTGGACTACATTAGCCTAGTCTTGCTTGAAAGCCTCATATGTCCAGTTGGGTTCCTCTAACAAAAATGTTCTATAGCAGCCTTATCCAACCAGACTACAACTCCCACCATCCCTGACCACTGGGGTTGATAAGGTCAGAATCCAAAATATCTGGAGAGCACCAGGTTGGGAAACACTGATTTATCGGTTCCCTTCTTTCCCCAGCAAGGACTAATAATTTGTTCTAGGTCTTGGCTTCGCCTCTTTTCAACCAGTGTCAGATACCATGCTGCAAAAGCACCTGTGAATTTGGGCACAATTTATGGAACTTAATTGCTTGCTTGCAACACCTTTCTTTCTACCTTCTCTTCTGTCTTGTTGCTGCTTTGATGATAAGCCTTCAGGAAAGGTCTTTTTTATTCTCTCTCTCACGCATGAAGTAAATTAGTAGTACCTTTTGTACAGTCACTGATATTATACAGACATCAGTGCTATTCATACCCATTCATCTCTGCTGTTTGAAAATGAACCATAAATTGGATAAAAGGAAACTTCAACCCCGCCTAAGAGCAGAAAACTCAGGTCCATCTCCTTCAGGTGTGGGGTGTCAACAGGGTCAGCCCAAGACATTTTGCTGCCTGAAGCAAAGGGCAAATGGTACCTTTCCATTTCATGCACAGAAACCAATCAGGTTGACAGTTAAATGTTACTTCAACACTGATGAAGGGACAGTGGAGAGGGAAACACAGCTGAGTCCTAGCACCTTATCACTGCTCCCTGCCTCACAGCAACTACCTAATGGCAGGGCTGGCCTTTACCCAGGACACTATTAACAACTATGTCACCTGGTTCACATGCCGCATCTTGTTTGTGCAAAACGACTCCACCTGAGGTACATTGAGGACAAATAGCCTTTTTTGTCCATAGATGTGTGAACTGGTCGTCTTCACTTCAGTGCTATATTAGTGACATCTCTCCAAAACCATTTGATTCTTCAGAAACCGATCTGATTTTCTGTCTTTCTGTGCAAAAGATGCACCACAAGATTTGGTGATGGCCATTAACTTTGATGCCTTCAACGAGAAGTAGAGACACATTTATGGAGCATAAATCTGTCAACAGCTATTAGCCACCAGTGCAGTTTCCATGTTTAGCGAACATAAGACCTGGTCAAGCTACTTACCCATGTAGACCAGCACTGCCAGTTCTGACTGGCAGCAGCTGTCTGGTGTCACCAGCAAAAGTTTGTCCCATGCTTTTTTAATTGATACTTTTAAAACTGTAGAGACCGAGGACTGAACCTGGGACCTTCTACATGCAAAGCATGTGCACTATGACTGTCTTTGGCCCCTCCCTTATGTGGCAGTGTACCAGTTGTTGGGGCCAAACACAGTAAAGTTCTTGCATTCATGCCCTGCTTGTAAGTTTACCAGAAGGATCTGACTAGTCACCACTGAAAACAATACTAGACCAGATGCCAGGGCCGGCCCACCCATGAGACAAGATGAGGAGACAGCTTCAGGCGACAGGATCCACAGGGACAGCAGATCCCAATGTCAATCTTTCTTCCTTCCTCGTTTGTGACGTAGATCTTCACTCACCCCTTCTTCCATGGTAGGGAATGAGAGTGCCGTTGTTTGGATTGCCTCAGGTGCCAAAATGTCTTGGGCCAGGCCTGCTAGATGGACATTAGATCTGATCTAGATTGGCAAGAACATTTACATGCTCTTTAAAAAGTCAATCTTAGTATCTGCTTTCTTATTTTATTTATTTATTGTTACATTTAGATTCCACCTTATTCTCTAGGGAGTTCAAGGAGCTCTACATGGGTCTCCCCCTCCCACTTAATTCTCAAAACAGCTCAGTGAGGTAGGTTAAGCTAAGAGACAGTGACTGGCCCATGGTCAGACAGTGAGATTCATGAATGAGCAAGGATTTGAACCCTAGTTTCCCAGGTCCTAATCCAACACTCCAACCACTACACCACACTGGTCCAAGTTACTGATCTCTTCAGAGCATCCTATTTTCCTCATGGTATTCTTGTACTCTGCCCTGTCACTCTCTTTTTAGAGTGTGACGGACAACCCTCTTGTTCACCTCTATTCACATGCTTTGTTTTCTCTGCACATGTAAATTGGAAGCTTTGTCTTTCACGGTGGTGCAACTCCCACTACAATTTATTGTTGTCCTCTGTCAGATTATTAGACACCCTGAAGAAAATTATGGCTCGGTACAAAATCAGTGCATTTTCTGGGCATGTTTTGCAACAGTTTCTGAACATGATAATTATGCATTCAGAACCCCCCTATCACTCACTTCATGGACTCAGCATGTTCAGTTTCTGCTGCTTGGAAAGATCTGGATACAATCCTGCCAACTTGTTCCTGCTGGACTTTTCTCTGACTCAGCCCAGGGAAAACCTAGTTACTGAGTAGACACCATAATTACGAAGAGATTCTTTCCTTCCCTTCAAGTTCCACTTATTGAAGAATACTTACTTGGAGGTCAGAAACAGGTTAATAATTCTGGCTTGCTGCTGACCTCCTTCTTCCTGTGGAAATACATCCACTGGATTCAAGAGTATTTCATCCGGCAATGACCTTGAAACAGCAGCACATGCAATTATCATGCCCTGAAGCTTGATTACTGTAATTCCCCTTTAGCACTGCCTTTTCGTCTAATGCAGTTTGTTCAAACTGCTGCAGTAGTATCAGCTGCTGCTACCTCCACAAAATTTTGTGTTCAGGCTTGAGCTGACACTATCATCTTGATCCCGCTCAGAAGGATGCCCATATAATAAAACCCCAGGTCTTGCTGTGTTCCTACAGGACACTTTATTATCACTTTCCCTGCCACCAGTTGCCTCAAATCCCCCTGGAGAAAAATCATTCCCCAATGCACCCCTTGTGAACCAGGAGCAATTATATTTGGGAATTCTAAGCTGGCGCTGAATTTAATTAGGAACAATTTGGAAAACTGAAATCAGGAAAACTGGAGCAGAGAGGTGTGGGTGGGTGTAGCACATTATAGAATCATAAAGTTGGGAGGGACCTCTAAGGTTCTGACCTTAAGTTCTAAACCGCCCACCAAATATCAATGTAAATCTGACGCAATACAGGAACCACTGATAAGGTAGCATAATTTGCTATCGATTAGAAACAGATTTGATGAAAACTTTGCAAGATTTCAATAACACCATTTACTATTTGAAACATAGCTGTGTAAACTATGGTACAAAAGGTTATGTAAACTGTGCGGTACCATCAATTACCTGTTAATCTAGAGTATAAATTGTGATAAACTTCAGTCTATT